CCAAATGCTCTAATTTATACCTAATTTATATAAAACACCAAGTTTTAGTGTTTTAAATATAAAACCTTTTTATTTAAATGAATWTAGCCATCATGGGTTTTTAATTTGAAGAAAAATGTCAAAATTGAGAAAATTGGCATTTTAGCATTTTGGGCTTTAGTTTTTATAAAAAAAAAATATTTAGAGGATGGGCTTAGGCTCTCCATGGCCGCCCCCCTCCTATTACCCACATATAAATATCATTATTTCTTCAATTACAACTCATTTTCTCATTTCAAATTTTGAAACTCCTCTCCCTCTCTCTCTCTAAACTCAAGAGTCACCTAAGAATCATCTTCTTCATCCTTCCAACTCCAGCCAATTTCTCCATCAAAAATGCAAGGATTTTGAAGATATTACATTCCTCTCATCATAAATCAAGGTAACAACTCCATCTTCATCTTTTCTTGCAAATTTTGGGAGAAAAACCCACTTTTTATGCATTTTAAACTACATTCTTCTAACCTCCGAAAATTTCTGAGTTTTAAGGAGAGATTATACACCAAAAACATGTAAAAATGTTCATATGATGGTGGTAATCTATGACCCAAACATTAGAACTCAAGAAAATAGTTAAAATCATGTTGCATGTGGGTTTGATTCCTTAAAAAAATGACATTTTAGGTGCTGACAGATTATGTGCATGTGCATAAATCGTCCATATCTTGATAATAATATGTTCAAATGTTATGAATCTTCTTCTAAAAGTTTATTTATTAAGTTGGGGTTATAATCCAATTGGTCTCACTCAAAAACATTGAGTTTTGACTTCTCAAATACTCAAAACCTTATATATGTGCATCTGAGAGTTTTTCAGTAGGTAAATCTTACTTTAAACAGCCATAACTCTCTAGATAATCATCCAAAATTGTTTATTTTTCTTCTGGATGTTATTTTAATGAGTTACCTTTCAAATGCCACCGATTTTATTCAATATTGTGGTGATTTGAGGTTTTAACTACTCAAAAAAAAGTGAAAATGCAATCTGTCCGAGTCTGACAGTTTTGTATATGTATGTTCCAATGACCATATCTCTTTCAAAACTCGATGAAAAAGGATGATTCTTCCTTTGAGAGTTAACTATATGGGTTATCTCCTGCATGCAAGTGGAATCACATGAAATTATGGAGTTTTGATCTCCAAACACCTAAAACACTATAGGTGTGCAAACTGTGAAACCACC